GGGGTGCTGAACCTGGGGGCTTATGAGGATGGCAGCTTAAAGTGCTCTTTAATCCAGCCCACGGAGTCCAAAGGCACATGAGGGTGCAGTGTGGCATTGCTGTGAAACCCAGCCAGCTGAGTCCAGGGACATATGAGGGGGTCAGCTTGTGAGTGCTGAGTACCCAGTCCTCTCAGACGTGCTCTGTTAGTGGGTGTGAGTGTCTGTGTGTGTTGCCAAGGTGGTAAGAACCCCATCCTGAGGAACCTAGTTCCTGCAGGAGAGCTCCAGTGGGAGGGGGAATTGGCAGCAGGGAGAATTCAGCTCCATATGAGAGCACAAGTAAGCACCAACAGCACACTGATAGAACTGTCAACCTTCCCCCAGTCCCAGTCCCCCAGTTACCATGAGGGTAACCCTGATAAATGAGCATACCCCAGAGTATTGGGCAAATCTGGTAACAAGAGGTAGATATGCTGGAGGGCAGGGATAGGGTCCAGAGTGATCTGGACAAATTGGAGGATTGGGCCAAAAGAAATCTGATGAGGTTTAACAAGGACAAGTGCTGAGTCTTTCACTTGGGACGGAGGAATCCCAAGCGTAGTTACAGGCTGGGGACCAACTGGCTAAGTAGCAGTTCTGTAGAAAAGGACGTGGGGGTTACAGTGAATGAGAAGCTGGATATGAGTCAACAGTGTGCCCTTGTAGCCAAGAAGGCCAATGGCATACTAGGTTGCCTTAAGAGGAGCATTGCCAGCAGATCCAGAGATGTCATTATTCCCCTTTATTCGGCTCTTATGAGGCCACATCTGGAGTATTGTGTCCAGTTCTGGGCCCCCCACTACAAAAAGGATGTGGACACATTGGAGAGGGTCCAGCGGAGCGCAACTGGAATGATTAGGGGGCTGGAGCACATGACTTATGAGGAGAGGCCAAGGGAGTTGGGTCTGTTTAGTTTGCAGAAGAAAAGAGTGAGGGGGGATTTGATAGCAGCCTTCAACTTCCTGAAGGGAGGTTCCAGAGAGGATGGAGAAAGGCTGTTCTCAGTAGTGACATATGGCAGAACAAGGAGCAATGGTCTCAAGTTGTGGTGGGAGAGGTCCAGGTTGGATTTTAGGAAAAACTATTTTGCTAGGAGGGTGGTAAAGCACTGGAATGGGTTACCTAGGGAAGTAGTGGAGTCTCCATCCCTAGAGGTGTTTAAGTCTCGGCTTGACAAAGCCCTGGACAGGTTGATTTAGTTGGGATTGGTCCTACCTAGAGCAGGAGGCTGGACTTGATGACCTTCTGAGGTCTCTTCCAGCTCTATGGTTCTATGAGTCTATGAACCCCAGGAAGCACTAGGGAGGAATAACTTTAGAATGGCCCTGGTGAGGAGCTATTTCAACATAGCAGCAAAGGAGCGTCTACACACACCCTCTTCTGAACAAGCTTTTTCAGAAAAGGGCTTATTCCTTGTGGAACGAGGTTGACCGCTGTCGGACAAAGCCTTCTGTTATTTCGAATTACTGTCAAAATAACACAATTGCAGTGTGGACTGCACCATTTTTTGGCCATTATTCTGGAAGACACACCAAGACCCTGGACACAGAAGAGCTAAGGTGTTGCTTTGGGCCCTGCCACAGCCTCGGTGTGTAACCTTGGTCAAGTCCCCTATTCATTCTTTGCCTCTGAAACTTGGGGGAAAGTAATAGCTCCCTTCCTCCCCTCCCCCGGGTGCTGTGAGGCTCCTTGATACTGTGGGGATGGGAGAGGTAGACACATCTAGCTCGATAGAATAGCTAAACATGTCACAAATCCTGGCAAGTATTCTGACCGTGGGAGAAATTATATTTCAGTGGACACAGTTGCATCATTCAGCAATGGACTCATTGTCCTCAGCCCATCTCATCCTAATGGACCAACCTCTAGATTCCTGTCCATACAGAGTGGACGAGATAATGATGGTAGGTTAAATATAGATCAATGGATTTTTGGATATGTGTTAAATATTTTACTTCTACAAGTATATTAGAAACAAGAGGAAGACCATGGATAGGATAGTCCCAGTACTCAGTGAAGAGGGAGAAACAATAACAGGAAACTTGGAAATGGCAGAGGTGCTTAATGACTTCTTTGTTTTGTTTTTTGTCAAGAAGATGGATAGTGATGGGATGCCTACCATAGGCTGTGTCTAGACTACACCTCTCTGTCAACAGATGTAGATTAGGCATGTCATAATAGCTAATGAAGCAGGGATTTAAATATCCCACACTTCATTAGCATAAACATGGATGCCGCTTTTTTTTTGACACGGAGCTTTTTTTAAAAAATACCCTGGCAGTCTAGATGGGGATCTGTCAAAAAATAACAGATCCTGTAAACCTCATTTTTTGAGGAATAACATTCCAGAAGACTGGAAAAGGGAAAATGTAGTGCCAAACCATAAAAAGGGAAATAAGAACAACCCAGGAAACTATAGACCAGTCAGTTTAACTTCTGTGCCAGGGAAGATAATAGAGCAAGCAATTAAGGAATCCATCTGCAAACATCTGGAAGATAATAAGGTGATAGGTAACAGCCAGCATGGATTTGTGAAGAACAATTCATGTCAAACCAATCTGATAGCTAGGATATCAAGCCTTCTGGATAAGGGAGAAGTGATGGACATGGTATACTTAGACTTTAGTAAAGCTTTTGACAGGTAAGTAAACCTTCTTATCAATAAAGCAGGGAAATACTGCCTAGACGGGGTTACTATAAGGTGGATACATAACTGGCTGGATAACAGTTTTCAGAGAGTAGTTATTAACAGTTCACAACCATGCTGGAAGTGCATAACAAGTGGGTTCCGCAGGGGTCTGTTCCAGAACTGGTTCTGTTCAATACCTTCATCAACGATTCAGATGATGGTATAGAGAGCACACTTATTAAGTCTGCAGATGATACCAAGCTGGGAGTGGTTGCAACTGTTTTGTAGGATTGGGTCATAATTCGACATGATCTGCACAAACTGGAGAAATGGTCTGAGGTAAATAGGATGAAGGTTAATATGGACAAATGCAAAGTGGTCCACTTAGGAATGAACATTCAGATCCACACATATAGAATGGATCGTGATTGTCTACAAAGGAGTACTGCAGAAAGAGATTTAGGGGTCATAGTGGACCACAAGTTAAACATGAGTCTACAGTGTGACACTGTTGCAAAAAAAGCAAACGTGATTCTGGGATGCATTAACAGGGGTTTTGTGAGCAAGACACGAGATGTCATTCTTCCACTCTACTCTGCACTGATTAGACCTCAGTTGGAGTATTGTGTCCAGTTCAGGGCACCACATTTCAAAAAAGAGGTGGAGAAATTGGAGAAAGTCCAGAGAAGAGCAACAAGAATGATTAAAGGTCTAGAAAACATGAGCTTTGAGGGAAGTTGGAAACAACTGGGCTTGTTTAGTTTAGAAAAGCGGAGACTGAGAGGGGACACAGTAGTGGTTTTCAAGTATCTAAAAGGGTGTTACAAGAAGGAGGGAGATAAATTGTTCTCCTTGACCTCTGAGGATAGGACAAGAAGCAATGGGCTTGAAGTGCAGTGTCGTGCTGCAGATTCGACAAACAGGTGTCTCCAGCACCTTTATTAACAATAACAGGAAACGAGTATGCTAAATCTGTGTGTGTTGCCAAGGTGGTAAGAACCCCATCCTGAGGAACCTAGTTCCTGCAGGAGAGCTCCAGCGGGAGGGGGAATTGGCAGCAGGGAGAATTCAGCTCCATATGAGAGCACAAGTAAGCACCAACAGCACACTGATAGAACTGTTAACCTTCCCCCATTACCATGAGGGTAACCCTGATAAATGAGCCCAATATCAGTTGAGAGTAACTCCAGTTAAGTAAACTGAATTACTCCTATTATTAATTTTAGCACTAGCAATATTGGAATAGTGGCTGAAAGCCTCAAAAAGAATTTGGGGTGCTATTTTGCTAGATGCTGAGCTTACACAATCTCCATAGAACACACATGTGCTTTGTTACAGGCTGGGGATCAAATGGCTCAGTAGCAGTTTGGCTAAAAACCATCTGGGGATTACAGTGAATGAGAAGCTGGATACGAGTCAATAGTTTGCTTTTGTAACCAAAAAATCTAATGGCATATTAGGGAGCATTAGGAGAAGCATTTTTAGCAGATCTAAAGAAGTGATTATTTCCTCGACAATGGTGATGCCACCTCTGGAGTACTAAAGTGCTGTGTCCAGTTCTGGAATCCCCCCTCCCTTAGAAAGAATGTGGACGCATTGGAGCAGATCCAGCGGAGGGTGACCAAAATGATTATGGGGCTGAAGCACATGACCTATGAGGAGAGGCTGAGGAATTTGGGCTGATTTAGTCTGCAAAAGAGAAGACTGGGGCAGGGGGATTTGATAGCAGCCTTCAACTTCCTGAAGTGGAATTCCAAAAAGGATAGAGAGAGGCTGTTCATAGTAGTGACGGGCAGCAAAATGGGGAGCAATGGTCTCAAGTTGCAGTAGGGGAGATCTAGATTGGATATTAGGAAAAACTATTTCCCTAGGAGGGTGGTGAAGCACTGGAATGGGTTACCTCCGGAGGTGGTGGAATCCCTAGAGGTTTTTAAGACCTGGCTTCACAAATTCCTGGCTGGATTGTTTTAGTTGGGATTGGTCCTGCTTTGGGCAGGGGGGTTAGACTCAATGACTCCTGAGGTCTCTTCCAGCCCTGGGATTCTATGATCCCCCAGGGCAATTCCAGCTCACAGGGAGTTCAGGATCCCGCTGGCTTCCTGGCTCCCTCAGTGGCCTGCCTTCCCTGTCCATCATGCTGAACAGGGGCATTGGCCCCTCCCCATTGTTCCTGGGACTGTTAGGCTCAGAGTCCTGATTTTCCATTGACCCTTCTCCGTGGCACTGGGAGAGTTTAACTAGGGATCGGTCAACAAAGGCTTCCCTTGTCGGCAGATCCCCGTCTAGACTTGCGCGCTTTGCCGACAATCAGCTGATCCGGAACAGCACAGCGGACATTTTTATTTTAATAAAGCCGGGGATATTTAAATCCCAATTTCATTGACTATGTCGGGTAACCTAGTTAACATGGCTCTGTTGGCAGAGCCATGTAGTCTAGATGTACCCGGAATGAACCAATCCAAACCCACTGAGGTTGTAGTAGGGGGCAGCAGGGTCTACATCTCTTTTGGATGCACCTTCCTTTGGCTTTTTCACGATCCCCCACTGGCTCAGTCCAAGGGACTCTGGATCCCACCTGTTCAGAGGTCACTTCTGGATCCTGCTTCTCAACTGCCTTGTGTCCTCACCTCCACCCCCCGGTGAGTGACTTGCGAGGGAAGAGACCTGGTATACATCTCTCAGCAGAGACAGGACGGAGGAAGAGGCAGTCAGGGCAGGAGGCGCAGAAGTGTCTGGGGCCAGAAGCAAAAGTTTCAGGATTCTCAACATCCCAGGCCCCCTTTCCAGCCAGGGACCTTTAACCCTGGCCCAGCTGTGCCCTTAGCCAGGGGCCTGCCTCATTCCCCAGGCAGTAAAATAGGACAGGGAGTGGGGAGGAGCTTTTACAGTGATAAGTTTTGTCTGAAATAATCAAACCAGGCCCCTTTGATTCTCAGTCTCACAGCCCTAAATAGAGACGCTGTGGCCGGAGCACGGCAGGGGGACCATGCGGGGCAGGAAATGAGGAAATGAGGAGCGATGACGAGTATCAGACCCAAGGAGCAGACAGAGCAGGGCAGAGAGAAGCTGCTGTGTCTCTGCTACCCCAGCCCTGCAGAATCCAGGTGTCTGGGGCTGGCTGGAACATCCAGCACTAGGGAGCAGAGAGAGAG